TAGGATTTAGGGTTTCGGGTTTAGAGCTTAGGATTTAGGGTTTAGGGTTTAGGGCTCTGTCCGAGATGGGAGTTTCCGAAAGCAAGGGGTACCTTATCTTGGGGTCCCTATAAGAAGGATCCTACTATTCAGGGTACTATTTAAGGGGTCCCCTATTTTCAGAAACCCTCGGATGTGGGCGCAGGCCAGCTCTTCAGATTACTCTCCGAAAGTTTCATTAGGGTTTAAGCCTTGGGGATTATGACCCCAGCCCAAGCCCAGTCTGCAAGAGAGGGATTATGAGTCAGAGGTGCAGGCACTTGGGGTCCTTGCGAGAAGGTTCTCGCTTTTTTCAGCATCTTCGAGTCAAGAGTCGCAGTAGCGGTTGATACTGACTTCTTTATATGACTGTTGCTGCAGTTGTTGTTATCTGTTTAGAAGTCGTCGTCGTCGTCGTAGCAGTAGTAGTACTAGTAGTAGTAGTAGTAGTAGTAGTAGTAGCAGCAGCAGCAGCAGCAGTGGTAGTAGTAGTCGTCAATGTAGTCGTCGTCGTGGTTGTATAGTCCGAGGATTCAGACTGTAAGAGATGCAAGGCATATCTCGAGGTAAAGGCAGATACATCCGACCAGCACACACACAACCGTGCAAGGAGAGATCAAGATTTGCAACGGCGGATTCAGGTCAGGTCATGGACATAATCAGATGGAATAGGTTGCCCCGACCACACCCTCAGCTCCCTGCACGTGACTGTGAATCGAGGGCGTTGGCGAGGCGAATTGACGTATATCCAGAAGCTGCAACGCGCTATATGCCCAAGTTCCGGCACTGAGTATGGAAACATCATGCAACGCACTTGCGGGGTTTCGGGTATAGGGAGCAACCCCCTGACTAGTAGCAAACGAATTGCCTGGTTGAAACGGCAAGAAAGAGTGTCCGGCTTGTTGTGCCTCCTGTGTGTACATTGCGCATCCAGCCGTGATTCTTAGCACCTCGCACCGCATCGTAGCTTGTATGACAAGTGTGACCCGGATTGGTATGCAACCCAATTAGCTTTCATCGTTTCAGCGGATATAGCAATTCCATGACCCCTTGTACAACAGTGTAGGAAGCGTGTCTTTGAGGCTTGCGCCCGCCCGACAGAAGAAGAGTTTCTGAGCAACAGGCCTTCCTGGCACAAGTAGATGAGAGGGCGTAGTTTGATGCTCCATCCACTGTGTATTGTAGGCTGCCCTTGCATGAGGTAGTGCATTGTCAGCGCAGGGAACCTACCTAATCTCGCCATGCCCCAGGCCTGTTGCGCAAGTGGTTGCTGCTGTGCTTTGGGAGCTAGAACCCCATTGTTTTTGCTTTGTCGTATTTCTCATGCAGTAAATACCTGAAGTCACCCGAAGGATTGACGGCTACTCGGAGCATGCCGCTGGATATGTCGGGCTTATTTTCCTATTTCTTTCCAGAAAGAGCGCATCACTCACATCTTTGCAGGTTATATAAAAAGAACGATGGAGGAGATTGAAACATGAGTTCCCCCGGCTACAGACCAGTGCAGCTTTTTTTTGTCTCGCACTTCTTCGATCTCGATCAGAATACCACGACGCTGTCTTGTCTAATTTTCAGACCCGTGCAGTTACGACATTGCACCACCCTGTGTGTAATGTGGCATTCAGCAATCAACCGGATTGTCGCTTCCTGGCGTTGATAAAAGTGTAGTGAGTTCTTGTAGGGCTGCTAGGCATTCTGCTCTCAGACTAGAGTCTTCGAACATTTCAGCTCCCCGTACATGGCAGCGCTGTGTGACTGTTGTACAGAAGACCCGTGATGGGCAACGCGGCTACGATCCCAGCACTCTTTGGCATGCAACATGCGGTCTTCTATGTGGTGGAAACTGCAGTGCGGCTTCAACTTCTTTTCGGTTGTACGACCTCTTTATTTGTGATGTTACCAACACGCACTAGATATGTGCATATGGCAAGATGTTCACCCTAACACCTAAACCCTACTCAGAGTCCTGTAGTTGCCCGTTTGTCTGCAGACCTCGCCTGGAAAGGTCCGAATGTGAGCTTCCACAATCCAGAACTCCCTAAACCCGGGGTTCGTTCGTGTCATATGCACTGGCGACCTAGTCGCGAACCCTAAACCCAAAACCCTGAACCCTGTTCATTCTGACCCTTGGAGCGCTCACAAGCACTTGCATAAGCATCAACTGCGCAGGGTCTCGAGTTCTAGGGTTGCAGAACCGCTTGAGGATGGAAGTATCGGTGTCATAGGCTCCGTATAACTGGGTGTTAGATTCTATAGTCCCTCAAAGCTATCCAAGTTTCAGTTCAGTTATGTTGGGGTCGATCATTTCTTTCTCCCTATTGGGAGCAGGTTCTCGGAGGAGGATCCGGCGACTGCCCAGGTCAGCAGTTTATCGCATCATCCTGAAACGAACTTCCTGCGTAGCCATTAACCCGGAACCAGACCACGCCGCCAAACCCTAAACCTTAAACCCACACGCGAAGCCCTGCCAATCTTGCACTCCAGCCTGCCGACGCTCCTGGCACACGGCCATGCAGCTGAAACCGAAACCATGGCCAGGATCAGAAAAGGTCACCCATCTGGCCCATCACCCCAAATTAAAGACATTGGGCACCAGATGTCGTTGGTCTTCCTCCGCGACTTCCGTTTGCACGTACCATCGGCACCGGCTCTAGGCCTAGGCATGTAGATACAGGCAGCCCTGTAGCGAGTAGAGCCACCTTGGCACGACAGTTTTGGGAAGTTAGTTTACCCATAGGCCCCATAGTAGTTCCTTTTTGGGATTCCCTAATAGGATTCTAAATATGAACCCCAAAAAGGAACTACTTTAGGGCCCTATAGGTAGATCAGCTTGTCATCGCGATGAACCGCCGACTTGGGACCGCTGCTTAAGTTCAACTGACACAGGCAGTGCACGCACAGCGGATCCATGAAGAGTTGCCACTTAGTTAGGCGAATGGCGCTTGAACACGCATTCTTCCAAGTATTCGCTTGCCAGACGAAGACAGGTTGCATAGGCAAAGGCCGACAAGAGAGTCGGGGTGCGAGCTTGAACACACTCTATCACGGGAGCCTTGCTGCCATACGGCAGAGACTGGCAAACAAGAGCCAGTATGCTCTTCCCTGATGAGTGGCAGATCCGCAGTGACAGGATGGATAGATCTACTTGCCTATAACTGGCGGCCCTGATGGCCGAAACTGAAGTTTGGCCAGTCGTGGGCCTTGCCAGAATGACAACTCCCCTCTCCCGAACTGCGACATATCTGTATAATTCATGTACCTATCGTAGTACATGCCTCGTCAAATAGTCAGATAGTCTGCATGTTTGTTGCGGCATGCTCACGGCTTCAGAGCCCTTTAGACACTCGAAAGAAAAGAACGTCACCGTCATGCTGGCCAGTGGGACAGGGAGTATCCTCGGGCCGTAGCCAGTGCCCCGGCGTGGAGGTCCCTCGGTTGAAGATTCAACAAGCGAGCGCCAGAGCAAAAGAGCTTCGCGCAGAGCCCATAAAGCTCATGCCTGTCGGTAGCAAATAACTGCCCAAGGGCTGGGTGAGGTATTGGCGCCCTGGGAAAATAGGTGGACAGTAGCGTGAAGTGTCCGCCCAATACAACCCTGCAACACGTTGTGTGTGATTCTGATGCTCTGGGTATGCGTTCAAACAAACTGTCCCTTAGCCTGAGCAGTCCCTGCATTTGCATTGCATCGACTTGCCTTCGAATCCTTGGACTAAGACCTTCCCTTTTCTCAGTCACGCACTGCAGGACGAGTTTTCCCGACTGCATTCTCCACTGGTGCAACTCAACTAGCAGGGCCCGAAACAGGACCACAATGGAGCTATCCCCACGTTTTGTTACCTTGTTGGCCAATACCATACATAAGCCTAGGCTGCAAACAACCCTGGGTCAAAACCATAACCTATCATCCTAAATCCTTAATCACAAACCCTATAAACTAAACTCCTACATCCTAAACCCTACACTAAGCCCCAAGCCCCAAAGCCCCAAACCCCCAAAGCCCTGAACCCTGAACCCTAAGCCCAAAGCACCCAAAGCCGAAACCCCAAACTGGCCCAGGATCTCCCATTCGTCCAGGGCGAGGAGTGCGGATGGTTT